GCGCATAAGTTTAATCTGGCACTACTGGTTCCTTTGCTGTGCAGACTATGCATTCCCTCAGAATGCTCCTCCTGCTCCTGCTGCTCTTCCTCCCGCGGCTGCTGCTGCCACCAGGACCACCAGCACCACCGCCACTGCGACTACTACTCTACTGTCACTGCTACGAACGCTGCTGCATCTCTACCTTGGAGCCGCACCCTCCAGCCAGAACCTGCACGAGGTCTCTTCGACTTTAGTGTCGCAACAGTTTCACGGCTTTCGTTCTTATAAGCAGCAGGAGCAGAACTAGTCGTAGCCGCCGCAGCAGCAGCAGCAGCAGCAGCAGCAGCAGCAGCTGTACGAAGTAGCAGAGTACAACGACAGTCAAGACGACTCGCAGCAGCTCGATCGCCAAGACTACTATGGGTATTGGCGCTAGAATTTGCAAATCTGAGCACTACGTATTACATGTCTTCCAACGAGCACTAGTGCAATGTGATGCCTATACTGCTCACAAGCAGTTTGTGCACTAGGCGTCCTGACCGATGGTGCGAGATGTCGCTGCAAGCCTGACCCACTTCCGCACCCTTCGCGGCACCAGACCCTGTACACTAAACAACAGCCCTGTCACCCTAAACCGGAAGACCCGCTAACCCTAAATCCCGATTCCTCATCCTCAAAGCCAATGTATGTAGCTCTACCTTCCCAACTTCCAAACCCTGTCCGCATACCGACGTCATCCGTGTGAGCCTGCGGAGGCGCGAGGTACACCGGCCGCGCAGCTTGCGGCACCGCTGCCGGAGCTGCTGCCTGCAGATGCGCCTGGGGTGGACAGAACTTTGAGGACTCTTTGAAGCAGGCGTCAAGGCTTCAGGGCCTCAGGGTGTAGAATTTGGGGTTTAAAGTCTTAGCGTGTAGGGTTTCCGGTTTAGGGCCCGTCGTCGGAGGAAAGCTTTGGCTGCAGGATGCAGGGACTTTTGAACGAGTCCACGTCAAAACCGGCAGGTAGGCGGTGTGACCTCGTGCCACGTCTGCACCAGCGGTCTTTTCTGCCCAGCATCCTTGGCTCGCCGAACGCAGTGCAGCAAGAATCCTATGTAAAACTAACCCCTAAACCCTAAACCCTAGACCTTAGTCCCTAATCCCTCAACCCTAAACCCTAATCCCCAAACCCAATACCCTTGCTGCAGCAAAGCCTCCGCAGCGTAGGCGTTGCCAGGCCGAGCACGAGCCGAGGCCTCTTTCTCTCTCTCTCTCTCTCTCTCTCTCTCTCTCTCTGTGAATTGCTCCGGTTCGACCTAACGGTTTAAGGTTTAGGGTTTAGGAACCATGAAATTCACAAGTGGGGAAAAAGGGTTTCGGGTTTAGAAGGGGCTTGGTCTTTTTTGCCCCTGTTTTGGGGCCCTTTTGCACCCGTTCCATATGTAAGGTCATTTTCCTACTTGTTGGGTCCCCTTTGCACCTCTTGGGGTCCCTTTTGCGCCCGTTCCACATTTAGGGTTTTGTTCCTACTTGTTCTCACCTTCTGGGTCCCCTTTGCAACTCTTCGGGTCCCTTTAGCACCCGTTCGATATATAGGCTTTGTTTTCTACTTGTTCTCCCCTTCTGGGTCCCTTTTTGCACCTCTTTGGGTTGCACGCGTTGCATATATAGGGTCCCCTTTGCACCGGTTCCGCACATGGAATTTCTTTTTCTACCTGTTCCTCGGTTCTGGATCTTGGGTCTTTTTCACGGCTCTTTCATTTCATGGGGTTTGCGGTTTAGGGTTCAGGGCTTCTTGTCGTACTCGTTCTTCCATTTTTCTGGTGATTCTGGTGTCGTTGGCAACTGCCCCATGTCTACTCCACCTGATACCGGCCTCATTCGCACTTGTGGTACACAGGTTTGGCTTCCCGTAGTGGGGAATTGCGAGGCTGGGCTTGAGCTCGGACGGACTTGGGCGCTGCCACTTGCTTGGCACGCTGTTCCCAGTTTTTGTTGCTCCCGTTGCGGGGTCTCCTGACCCTCTACTTGTGGTCCCCCTTCCCCCCTCTTGGACTGCGTGTCTTTTCTGCCGGGTTGGGGGGGCTCAGGTTATTGTCTTGCGGTGGCAAAAGGCTGAAGGGGGAAAAAGAAACCTACACATGCCGAATTAAAACCCAGCCCATTTCCCGTTCAGAATTTAGGGTTGAGGGTGTGCAAACACACGGGACTGTCGTGCTACCCCTATCAGAGATGCTTGGATCTAGCACTTGATTTACCCATACTCTGGTCACTTCGACTTTGCACCGACCCTGTGGTGTCGAAGGTAGGAATGCAGCAGCTCCCTTTCAGCCCTGTCCCTGAGAACCGACACAAGTGTCATAAGTCCCTAATTACATGGTGCGAGTCACAGAGCCGCTGATGCCTGCAGACTGTCGGGGACGCCATCGCGATTTCGGTCAAGCCCGTGCGCTGCAATGTCCGGTCTGCCTGAACCACGCAGCTTCAGCCCTCCAGCCAAATTGATGCAACACTGGATCCGCAACACTGGAGTTCTTTTTGTGAAGCTGCCGTTCTCTGCACAGCCGCCGTTAATGTCGCAGGGCCCCCCCTAATCAAGGTCCCTTATCCCCTGAGCCGCAAACCATTCTGGTTTGGATGCACCGAAGTGACAGGCTCTGCCAGAGCCTAGGAGCACAGTGAAGGCTTCAAGGCGGCTTCCTGCAACCAACCCTATTATCGACCTTGAGGCCAAGGAGCCCTGTTATGGTAAACCCTAAGCCCTAAGCTAAACCTTGAACCTCAAACCCTGCAGCATGGACCGTCGCAGTCTTGAGTTTCGGATGTTGGGGGATGGACGCTTATAGAAGCGAACCCCTTCGGCGACCCGCAATTCTCATGACAAGACTTGATCCCGCAACCCAAACACCTTAAACTCATGGGTTCAAGAATACTGAAGATTTAACCCACAAAGCACTTTACCCGACATCAAACCACTTTGCAGTGAACCCACTGGAGACAGTGGAGCTGCCAAAAATCATGGGATGCTGGGACTTAGGGCAACAGAGCTCCACCCCTAAACCCCAAAACCCTGCACCCAAACCCCAAAACCAAAGCCCAAAACTCTAAACCCTACATCCTAAATCACAAACCCTGAACCCTAAATCCTAAACCCAACCCTAAACCCAAGAGCCTAACCCAAAACCCAAAAGAGTTCCCCCTTCAGGCTCCGGCTGGCGCCGCTGGGGTGGGACCCTGGCCATGCAACCTGTGCTCGGGTCTATGGGTCTAGGGCTCGAGGGTTCGAGGGTTTTAGGGTTTTAGGGTTTTAGGGTTTAGGATTAGGATTCAGTTTAGGGCTTAGGGTTCAGGGTTTACAGGCTAGGGCTTAGGTGTAGCTTGCAAAGTTCGATAGGGGTTCGGTTCTACATGGGGGTTCACAGGGTGTTCAAGAGGTGTCGGGGCTTTAGGGTTCAGGGTTGAGGATTCAGGCAGGGTCATGTGAGGGATGCTTACGGGCTGTCTAGTGGTTTGGGTTTAGAAGTCAGGTTTTGGGCGGGATTTGTACAGCTGCATCGTGGCATACTGGGTACAACCGCCGACCCAAAAAAACAAAAGCTGCACGGGTTTAGGGGTTTAGGGGTTTAGGGTTTAGGGTTTAGAGTAGCTTGTTCACTCTGTCTGTCTGAAGAGCAGGTTGCGAAGCGCCGTTCCCTCAACGGTTTATAACCTTCTTGCGCAGCCAGAGCCTGCTAACACGAGAAGAAACACAAAGATGCCTGTCAAGGAGCGGAGTCTCACAAAATACGGTACCCTCATGGGACCATACGAACCTGGAATGGTAGGACCCTCGTTGAACAGCCACACAAAGTGGAGCCCCTACTTCCAAGGAACCAACTCGCCCCCTTGCCCACTGTGCACCGGGTGCCACACAATGCCATGGGGGGAACCAAAGCTAAACGCTGTGTCTTTGCTGCAGCCTCCTCGATCAACTACCACCATGCGCTGGATTCTGTTGCGGGTAGGCTTTGGGTCTTGCAGGTTTTCGGGAGTTTCGGTGCAGTGATCCCACGGGCTCATGATTCATGGAACTCAGCCCAAGCTTGAATTGACCCTTGGGCTTGCTGTGTTGAACCGCCCTGGAAAAGCAGGTAAGCTGCGGAGGTGAGAAGCAAAAGCCCCATTTTCGATCGGCATCGTTACACTGGTGTCATTGACACACTCACCCTTCCGAGACCTCTCAACCCCGTTCACCCGGCCCGGCTGCAAAAAATTGGATGTCCTCTTCGCATGGAAAACTTCACAGTTGCTGCCAATGTACTCAAAGAGCTTGGAAGCACTCATGCCCGATGACCTAAGAACTACGAACAACATTGGCAATCAAAAGCTTCACTGCAATACCGAAGCATCACTCAAGTAAACATTGCTCTTCTAAGCTATTTTGCGGTGAGGTTTGTACATGACCTCGGGCCAGACCCTCCATGCGCAAAGCATGCAGGATTGAGGGCTTTTTGGCAAGAGCGCATTGGGCTGGTAGTGAGCTCCAACCCTGCTCTAACCGCCGAGAAAATACCCAAGCAGATGAACGACTGCAGTAGCTGCGTCGAACACCCCAGCATCGTGGCAAAATCGGTGCACTGTGATGGACACAGCTGGAACCCCCTGCCCTCAGAACTCCGCGACAAAGATCTTGTGGATAGCAGCATCGCGGACGATGGTGGGCGAGCTTCCAACATTGGCACAACCCCATGTGTTGAGGTCAGACTCCGATTGAAACTCCGCTTGATTCTCAAGCCCGCTTCGTTCTTCCACCAGTTGGTGGAGAGATCGAGATGGCAGTGGCGGTTAGAGCTTGAGGATTGAAAAAGCACCCTAAACCGCAGCAGAGCTGGAAGAGTCGTGCATGTTCAGATTTCCGGAATATGGCGGGAGAAACGGTAGGTCAGGTCTGCAAAGTTGCCCTTCCGCCCCTGCTTTCAGCGGTCTCCATCCTCCACATAGTTCCCCCTGTGGCACGAGCTGGGTTCGCATCCTCAAGGAACTAATCCTTGCTCAGGAGGTTAGCGGTCGTGACGCTCCGCAATCTTTGCAAGGATGAGTTGCACCGCAGCCTCTACCTCGGGGATAATCCATGATATGTTCCCCTAAGGCGCCTAAAAGGGCCTTGCTGCCTATTCTGCATTTGACTGGGTATCAGTGCCTGTGCAGGCTGACCCACCACGACAGCAACATCGTCCCTGATGCAGACCTCAGAGCCATGGGCGCAAGCAAGCGGCTCGATTCACAACGCTGCCTTCGTGTGTGGAGGACCCTGCGTTAGTCAGGAATCTTCAATTTTCAACTTCGAAACCTTGGATTTTCGCAGTACTTCTCCAGCTGTGTTTACAGTATACACCTGCGTTACCGTCTGAACTGCATGGGTGCATGCCGATAGTTCCTGCCTTTTCCGGAGTCCCAAGCTAAACCTACACGTCTGATCCGGCAAGCTGCAACATGGTATACCAGTTGGCAGGAGCAAAAAAAGTGCTTTTGCGGCTGAGTTGCTTTTGCGCCTGACCTGGCCCGGATCGCTCGGATGTTGGTGCCCTTCTTGCCAATGACAGCACCTATCCTTGCAGCAGGCACGCGCACAGTGCGCGAGGTGTCGCTGGCCTCGTAGACGTCCCGAATTCTCTTCGAGGACTGGTGCCTGGGCGATCCGTTTCGTGCAAACCGACAGGCCCCTCAACAGAAACCCGAAGAAACCAAACCTAAATCGCGCCACCAAAGCGACCCTGTCTAGATGGCAACGAAATCCGCAAGCTTCCCTGTGCCCTTGCCAAAAGACACTCAAAACATCGGACCCAATGACATCGAATCCCAGGTTCAATGCTTCTTCTGGTGTCAGGGCCACAAACCTTCTCAAGCGCCTCTCGCTGGCGCTCATCACATCCTCCTGGAGTTGGGCGGCTGCTGCTGGATCCCCGGGCGTCCAGAAGCGCCTGGGTTGAGGGTTGAGGGTTTAGGGTTTAGGGGCCAGAAACCCATCTGAGAATCGGTACCGAAGTGCCAGCTAGTTGCTTCATGCCCAACAAGAATTGGACATCCAAAGCAGAATAATCCATCAGCAACGCGCTTAAAGGCCGGGCCCTCCAGATCTCAGTACCTCTCTCCGGGGTGAAGAGCTCCTGCACCTGCTCTTTCACGGCATCCACCCTTTGAACCTGGGCCTCTGCCAAGATGCCAGACTCTGCCAGAAACTCGGCCAGCACTCTCTTCAAACCATGCAGGTACATGTCGGTTGGGTCCTGGAATTTCAATGCCCTCAAGACCTGCAAGTCGTAGGAAGCCTGCACGTCGACAGCATGCAAGTGGAAGAGGGCATCGCAGTCCGCGCGCAGGTCATAGAACACCTTCAGCACGTCTGACTCCAGCAACTCTTTCAAGCCGCCTTCTCCGAAAGCTTCGTCCTCCCGTTTTCGGGTTTCAGGCTTCGGGGTTCTGGGTTTGAAGGCCTCCAAGCTGGGATCCGGCCAGAAAACTCTGGATTAAGGAGGCGTTCTAAGGCTCAGAGTCTCTGAGACCCCAGAAAAGCTGCAAGGGGCTCTTGAGTAAGCCTCTCAAGTCATCACCTGGCTTCTCCCCTCCTAAGCTTTTAGGGTTCCGGGGAGGTGCCGCAACAAGCATCTCTTGGTCAGGAGTCCTCTTCAAACGATGAATGCCGAAATGTAGAGACCGTTCCAAAGTAAATCACGGCTCAATGTGCCCCGGCTGCTAACTTTTCTATGATTTCTATGTAATACCAACAATAGCTTAACTTCCACTTGTCGAGACCACGGGACATGGTGAGTTCAATCGATTCGTGAGTTGGACGATGTTACCAAGTCTCATTTGTTCAAGAGTTTCTGCAAGCCCCCCGGGAACGACAGGTTTCGGGTTCCGTGAGCTTAAAATGCTAAGAACTGAGACTGCAGACTCAACGAGCTCCTGTAGCGTGTGAATATCGAACAGAAACACTGTGTCGTTGGAATGGCCACAGATTTGGATCAGGCATACTTCGCCTGCTCGGCTCAAATCAACTCCTTCGATGTCAATGCCAAGCTCAGTTTCCTGCAAAGGCCGGGGAGTCAGGTTTCGGTGTGGGGTTCAGGGATTTACGGTGCCAGGGCAGAGAGGATTTAGGAAGCCTGGGGTCTAGTGACTTTTAAATCAGGGCTTGAGGATTCGCGTGCATGTTTCACGCTCGAGCACAGGGACTGAACCCTGAACATTAAACCCAACACGACTGTCGATGTCAACACATTCCTGGAACAACTGGGCGACAGCGTCTTGACATTGCTGCACGGTGTCCACAAGCACAATCTTGACAAGGGATGCCATGGCTTCTGAAGGTTGCCTACGACTCGTTGGCCAAACATTGTAAAAGCAAGGAAAAGCCATAGCGACATCCCGAAAATTCGTTAAGCAGAGGCCACGGCCGCAAGTGACAGGAGCGACAATTTCAATCCGGGCCACGCGGTTGCGTCTCTCGTCCCAGTTCAACTACAGCGCTAGCACCACAGCTTCTGCACTATCTTGACACATGCAAAATTAAAGGTCTGCCTTTCCCCAAAGCGTGAAAGTCACAACCTTTTCACACTTGGGTTCATCAGAGAGAAGACGACCCGGTGGTCATAGGGACACATGTCCATGTCGGCATCATTGAGGTCGAAGCCACGTTAATCGGACGTCCTTCGCCGGCACCAAAACACTTTCGAAACGCATTCAAACTTCCAAACAAGTCCAGCTCAACACCCAAAGCCCGGAAAATGAAATTGCCGCCGTTCAACCACTGTACGTGCAAACAACTCCTGTCAAATTGATGTCGTTGGCTTCGTCGTTGCCTACTTGCTTGAAGTTGAAGAGCCTCTTAGCACTTTTTTGTGGAAGCCAAAACCTGTCAAGCTGTTGCCACTTCAACGAATCTAACCTGCGAACAAACTCGGAGTGCTTTGCGCAGCCAATCAACCAAGCTTGTCGACCGACAAAACTTTCGTCTTTCAGCAACTGCTCAACCGAAACCCCCCGCAGGCGTTGCTCTCTATTTCTTTCCTAACTGGCGGCAAGCGGTGAAGGCGCAGCCCGAGGAAAACAATACTTTGAAGTTTGAACTTTGCAATTGCCACAAACTGCTCGCTGTTCTTGTTGTGTCAGGCGGCCTCGTTGACAGCAGTTGCTGCTTGCATTTAAGTACATTTGTCAGACGACCCTACGCTGGCGGGACGAAGCAGAGTGAAAACGTCGGAATTTCGAGCGGGGAGCGACAGAGTGAGAGAGAGGTCTGTGTTTGTGTGCACATCGTTGTGTTTGTGCTGTGTATGTATGTATTACATATATATATATGTATATATACATATACATATACACGCACATAAATAAATATATATATATATGTATATATATGGTCANNCCCCCCATGATCCACCCGAGCCTTCTTGCCATCTGTTCGTCCACAGTCTTATGTTTCCCAATGCTTTTTCCGAGGCCCAAAAACCATCGGTATTCACAGCGGTTTCTGCACTTCACACATACTGACCTCTACACATTGTTTGTGGTATGTGTGAACCACCCAAAACCCAAACCAGAATCTGGTTCTGCGTCCGCGCTAATTGGAAGAAACACATGAGCCTTGCTCAACTACTAATGACACTGGAAGCCTGGATTGTCTCTGCGCAGTTGGTGTTGTTTTAATTCATCAAGAATCCTCTTTTCATTCACAAAGAAGCACAAGAAAGCTCCTGCCATTGGTCCCTATCTGCCAACATCCCAGCTTGAAATATTGATGGTTCGGAAAAAAACTCGTCTTCTTCCACCATACTCCAGACACATTCGATCAGGTGTCGAGCTTCTTACACGTTGTAACACGAATGGAACAGCTACTCGCTTTTTTGAATAAGTCATGCGGAATGAAACAACTCCCGTTACAACCAGAACAAGTCTTATGCTTCGTGGGAGTTAGGACGAAATGTATTGGAAAGCGTTCGTTGCTGCTCTTCTAGCAAGAAGTGAAAGACCCCTTGGTTCATGCAAACGAAGGACCAGACTCGTTAGTGCCACATTAGCAGCAGTCAAACCAAGAAGGCTAACTAGCTGCCACCAACAAGACATGAAAAGGCTCCTCCTATCCACAAGAAAGACAAGAGCTGAGACTTTTAAAACCATAAGCAGAAACAACAAAGCTCCTTACGGAAACTTCTTTATCTATGAGCAAGGTTCTAAAGATTCAGAAAGGATTATGTGAATTCAAAAGCTGCAAAAACTCAGCCACATCTACGCAACAAGAAGACTTTCTTTATCTATGAGCGGATCTATGATTTAGAAAGGATTGTTTGAATACAGAAAAAAACCTCGATGTAAAACCTCAGCCACATCTACACGTTAAGAAGAACTACGCAACACCATAACAGAACAACAGGTAATAGAGTCCTACGCAATCGCATGTCCTGCTTCAGTATGGATCATGTCGCTCAGTAATAAAGAAACAGCACAAGTCTGTTTCCGCTGACATGTTCGTGCCGAGGAACTGAGGTGCCACCGCAGATAATGCCTTCATTGCGCTTGTAAAGAAGTTTCAAGTTGAAGAATTTTTGTAGAAAGAGAGGGTTTAGAAAAAGAGATTGAGGAATTTGATAGAAGAGCGACAAGACCAGAAACCAAGAAGCTTTGCACCAATGGAGTGCGAGGCGGAAGCACAACATGCGGATGATCCATGTAGAAAACCAAGAAATCGAAGTCTTGCCGTTTTGTGTTGTGGCTCTTCGAATTTGAAAGAGAATGGAAACTGGGGAGGTCACTTGAGCTCTCCTACCTTTGATAAATTTTAGTGCACTTAGGGCTTCAAATGGAATGGATCTCCAGCACTCAGTCCGAAAACAATCACACGTTCTTGGTCTGCTGTGGCCCGTGGCATGAAAAGCCCACGTTTGTGGCCTCTTGTGGCCTGATGTGTCCTCAAAACCACACGTGTGTGGCCCGTTGTGGCCTTGTCGTGGCCTCACGCGCATGTTTTCCTTGCAAAAAATCGCATCCAGATCCGAGGACCACTCGGAATTTT